TGTGTTGAATTGTGGTCAATGGAGTCTGCTCCTCTGATCCAACACTTTCTGTTCTTCCTGCCTTTCTGTCTCCTACCTCAGAGATGCCTCCTGCCTCCTTCCTCCCTAGTTGCTTCCCTTTTCTGCATACAGAGGCCCAGCTCAGTCCCTTCCCTCTTGAGTCTGAGTCTGGGCATCCTTTGTCTTCCCCTTTCCCACAACCACTCTCCCTGTGCCCCAGCCTTGCTCCCCCCTTGGTTGGTTTTCATCCTGGTTCTGTTCTGCTGGACCAGGACCAGCCTCTTCTCCTGCCCCCAAGTAACTCTTGCCCATGACAGGGAGTTGAGAGGTCAGGGAAGCTACTCTCTGGCCATGCAGATTTTTCCTGATCGTGCTGAGCCTCAGTTTCCCAAACTGAAAGGTGAGGGGTGTCTAAAATTCACAGTTGAGAGCCTGCACGGAGCACTGTCACCGTGAGAATGGTGTTATGGCTACTGTAGTTAACAAATCAGAGCTCTGACCTGCCCCATGGACACAGCTGCCCCACAGGCATGGTGACCCCCCCCCCTTCACATAAGGTCAGGTTTAAAGTCACCCAATAGTTTTGGTTTTTCTGTTTGTTTTTTGAGACAGGGTTTCTCTGTGTAACAACCCTGGCTGTTCTGGAACTCGCTTTGTAGATCAGGCTGTCTCGAACTCACAGAGATCCTCCTGCCTCTGCCTCTCAAGTGCTGAGATTAAAGACCTGCGCCACCATCTCCTGGTCAGTTTTGACTTCTTACCATGAGGGTATGGCTCAGGAGGTGGGGGCTAAGGGCTATTCCCGGGAAAAGACTAGTGGAGAAAGAGTCCCTAGGGAGACCTCAGTGATTCCCGTTATCAATTAGTCCCTTAAAAAAAAAACAAAAAACCTTGAGCCTCAGTGGCAAGCGATTTAAGCCTACTGTATCCCGTTGAAGTGACGGCATTCTGTGACTTCCGGTTCACTAATTCTCCCCTAGATAGATGTGGAAAGTGTGTTGACAGGAAGGATTTGCGACCACGAGGCAGAGGCAGTTAATGTCCGTGATCTGCTAAGCCCTCTGAGCTCCTTAGGCACCTCCCGGGCAGTCTTTGCTGGGATCTGCTTATGGCCCCGATATTGGCGGATGGTGGGCTGCTCTGACCCTGGAACAGGTTCCTCGTCCTTAGGTCCCGGAACAGAGGACTGAGCAGCGATGCGGCTACAGAAGTAGAGGCATTTCTCAGAACCGTTTCTAGGGGAGGAAGTGGGAGCACAGCGAAAGCGAAGTAGCGGTGTTGTTGATTTCTGCCAACCTGGCACAAGCTGGTGTTATCCAGGAAGACAGAGCCCCGTTTGAGAAAACGCCTCCAGCAGACTGACCTGTAGGCTAGTCTGTGGAGCGTTTCTTAACTAATGATTGATGTGAGAGTGTCCAGCCCATTGTGGGCAGTGCCACCCTTAGGCAGTCGGTCCTGGGTATAAGAAAGCAGGATGAGCAAGCCATGGGGAGCCAGGCAGTAAGCAGCGCTGCTCCATGCCCTCTGCGTCATCTCCTGCCTCCAGGTTTCTGCCTGGAGTTTCCTGACTTCCCTTAGTGATGAGCTGTCAGCTAGAAGATGAGATAATCCCTTTCTTTCCAAGCTACTTTTGGTCATGGTGTTTGTTGCAGCAACAGAAAGCAAACCAAGGCAGTAGTTCAGAGACTGGTTGTGCACAAAGCACCCGGCTTTCATGTTTTGTAGCACAGGTCTTTGTGGTTCATTGGCATAGTGCAAACTTCTTTGAGCATACTGTGTAACATCTAGATCCACATACAGTGTCATGTATTGCTGTCTCAGAATTTTTTGTCTTTTTTTTTTGGTACAGTCTCACTATATATCTGGAGCTCACTAATTAGACCAAGCTGGCCTTTAACTCACAGAGATCCGCCTGTCTCTGCCTCCCAAGGGCTGGGAAGGCCAAAGCACATGGCGCCCAACTCTTTGGAGAAATAGTCTTTATTTATTGATTTATTTGAGGTGAAGAACGTTTTGAGACTAAGGACTTGGGGCGAGGGTAAAAAACAACTTCATATGGTACTGTCATGGCACATGCCCTGTGTTTTCCCAAACCTTTAGAATGACCAGCACCAGAGTGAGCCCCGGGTCAACAAGGACTCTGGTGTCAATGACATGCTGTGGCAGGATCATCCATTGCCAAAAGGTCCTGCTGTGGGGTAGGATGTGGCTGATGGAAGCTATGTGCGGAGAGGAGCCCAAAGCTGGCTCAGAAAAGTAAGCTCTATTGTTTCATAAAAGGAAACAGAGAGGACTATACCCCATATCTTTTGCTGTCATTTCCGGTAAAGGCTGACAAGATGCCCCTAGAGCAGGCTGGCCTACGCTGGACTTCTGCTTTTCTTTGGTCCAAAGTGGGAGACATTGGAGTCCAGTTTAATTGCTCATGGGAATGGGCCATGACAGAGGGAGGAGCTGGGGACTGGCAGCCGAAGTTGAGGACAGACACCTCTGTGAGCCCCATTACCTCAGAACCTCACAGTGGAGAAAGTGAAGACAGGAAAGGGCGGCTTCCTGAAGACAGGAAGAGTCAAAAGACTTGGTTATGGGTCATCTGGAATCAGATGGACCGAGCCAGGTAAGTGACCACTGAGGCAAAGGTGTGTCATGCCCCCTGGCACTAAACTCGCTGCCCCGCGCCTCTCCTGGCTCACTCCACCCATTCCTCATTCCCTCCCCATCTCAGAAGACTTCCCCAGGGCATACCTCAATAGTTTCCCTGCCAAACCATCTCCTAGTCTTCATCCTGTTTAGTGATTCTATGGCATTCAGCACTATGGTGACATCACTTATCCATCCACATGTTTATGGTCATCTCCTCAACTAGGCTAAGCCCGTGAGGATGTGAGCAATGTTCCCCCCTATGGTGTGAACTTGTTAGGCAGATTAGCTGTTCCCAGAAATATGTCAAGTCGTTCCGGGGTCTGGGAACTAACAGATGGCTGTCCATATGGATGCCGACATCTTCACGGTTGGAGGGGGAGAGCCTGTTTGAGTCAGAGCCCTCACTGGAAGTGGAGCAATGAATGGGAGGTCTGGGGCTATGAGATAGAGATCGACAGCCCACAGAGAAGCCCTAGGCTGAAGACTATAGCTTATAAAGGAATCTGTTTGGGTCCAGGGGCTGGTCAACCCTTAAACTGGCACCAAGCTAATAAGAAAATGCCCTGTGATTATGGAAGTGATGTATATCTATATTGTCCAAGATAGTAACCGTAAGCTAAGTTCTTAGCATGTACACGTAGCTTGTGTGACGGAGAAACAGGAGAGTAATGGTATTGAATTCTGTCTAAGCTGGGAATGGCTGCCTATTTCCGATGGCTACTTCACGAATGGCACAGCTTTGGTGTCCCGTTGCATAACACTGTCAGGGCTGAGCTGGAGGAGGATGAGACAGGTGTCTCCGAGGTCACAGAGCAGGAAACCTTTCTCCTATGGTCCAAACAGGAAACGCTGGTTTTCTTACAAGCGAGTGGGTCAGGAACAGGAGGGTAAGATGAGAGTCTGGAAAGGGGGTCGTAAGGACTCAGAACCAGAGCACCCTGTTATCTCTCCAACCCCCAGAATTCCGCGCACAACAGAAGGCCAGTTTCCTTTCACACACCGGTCACCTCATCCTTTAAGCCACACAGTCAGCACCATCCTGCATCTGGGCAGCTCCGGAAACTTCCTAAGGAGCTCCAGGGTAGAGGGCTGCCAGTTTCCGGGGTCCACTCACCTAGCTCTCACCAGGGCTTTGGGGAGTCCTGCACTTCTGTCTCCTCAGAATCACCCAGACCCCTAGAGGCAGTGCAGCAGCTCCCCGGGTAGTGACAGTGTGGGTAAATCTGACAGTCAGTCACCGAGGTACACCAGGATCTTAGGGTGTCACATTGGGAGCGGTGGTCCTCGGTGTGGCTGTGTGGGAATTTAGTGGGGGTCCCTCCCAAAGGCACAGAGTTCAGTGCCCAAACATCAGGAGTTTTGGAAGCTCCTGGGGAATTCAAATATAAAGCTAAGGCCAAGAACCATCTGGTTTAAAACAACTTTGGCTAAATGTGCTAGACTCAATTTAAGTTCCTCCTAGAAGCTGGTCGGTGCACCTTTATGTTACTTCCACTTTCCTGAATGTCTAGGGTGTGCTGGGCATTGTGCTTAGCGCAGACACAGGGATGAGCTCAGGCCACACCCTTTAGAAGTCTGCCTGAGAAGTAGAAATGGTACAGCTTAGGTGTGTCCCATAGACTAACTGTCCTCCTGCCCCAGAATAACCCGAGCAGCAGGCAGATGCCTTACAATATGCTGGATCTGACTGCTCTAGGACTAAGAGGTTATGGTGGCAAAATTAATCTGGAAAGAGCATAGGAGGGACTGAGCTAGATGGGGTGGGGGGTGGTGGTGTACAGACCTCTCTCCTGAAAGACAGAAGTCACTCCAGGTCTAGCTGGGGAAAGCAGCCTTTTGGAGATTTGTGTCTGCTTTTGTCACAGTGTATTTATTACAAACCACATTGTAACACCTGAGGCCGACTGCAGCCCTGGCTTTCTGGAACTGAGTCTGCAGACCAGGCTGGCTTTGTGCTCACAGAGATCCACCTGGCTCTACCACCGGCCCTGGGATTAAAGGCGTGCGCCACCGTGCCACCATGCTCAGCTTTGGGAAATGTTTGGAAAAGAAAAAAAACTTGGTGATCTTCACGCTCCTACAGCTTAACCACATTCATTGAGAGCTTGCCAGGGTAGGAGACTGTTCTGCCTGGGAAGACATCTGCTCTTAGAAGTGGTCGGAAGGACACATCCTCTGGTGACCATCCCTGTGGGCGTGGGGGTGGTGGGGAAACTTTAGCCTTTTCTCTCCCTGTGTGTGTCAGAATAGAGAGAAAGTACAGACCAGGGGGGCCCTGCAGAGAGTCATCCACCCACAGGGCCTCTCCCAGTGCCTTGGTGCGCCATGGAAAGACATTTCTGTTTCTTTGCAGTCACTTATATAAAAAGAACCCTGATGTGACCAAAATCCGGCCAGGAAAACCTCAGCCTCTGCTCAGAGTCGATGACCACGACTTCACCATGAGGCCGGCCTTTGGCGGTAAGAGAGCTTCCTCCCCTCATCTCACCTGTCCCCAGGGCCGCTAAACTGAGGTGCGTCCTGTACCATCCTTAGTCATGGCTCTTTTCCATTCCCGCGGAGAGGTAAGCTCTCTAAGGAGAGAAATGGTTTGGGGGAGTGGAGAGGCTGTGGACAGAGGCCACAGCCACCCAACTGTTGACCTTCACAAAGGAAAGCAGGCTGTCTTTTCTAAAACCAACAACCAGCCAAGGATATAGGTCACTTGATGGCCAGCTGGGGTGTCTGGTGGGAGCAGGAACTTGGCTCATTACTGAGGTCCCCCACATCTCTTATTGGTTCTCCCCCTCAGTGTTCCCCTTTGGAGATCAGGGAGTGGACATGTGGCTCCCAGGATCTGGAGGAATGCCTCACTGGGGACTACATTTCAGTCAGGTTAGGCTGCAGTAACAAAGCTCCACGGGCAAGGTGGCTCAGAACCCAGACACACTTGCTTCTCATAGTCCCAAAGGTCCAAACCCAAGGCTAGACAGATTCTGGGTCTGGAAAGGGCTCATAGGTGACATCTGCTTACTCTGACTGCTAGTGTTATGTCACCACAAATGCCAATGACCAGACACAGACTTGAGTCCATTTAAAAAAAAATTACAAGCCAGACAATGGTGGCATACACCTTTAATCCCAGCACTCAGGAGGCAGAGGCAGGAGGATCTCTGTGAGTTTGAGGCCAGCCTGGTCTACAGGACAAGGTCCAGGACATCCAGGGCTACACAAAGAGAAATTCGGTTTCAAAAGAACAAAACCAAAAATAAACATGTTATTTATTTCATGTGTATATATGTGTATATACACACTATATGTGTGTATAGTGCTGGGTCATGTGGTCCCAGGGGAACTCAGGTCATCAGGCTTGGTGGCAGGCGCCATTACCCACTGAACTATCTCACTGACTCAGCAATTATTTATATATATATATATATATATATATATATATTTTACAATTATTTATTTAGTGCACACTTGCCATGCCAACAACTTCTGGGAGTCCTCTCCTTCTACTATGTACATTCCAGGGATCAAACTCAGCTTGTCAGCCTTGGTGGCAGCGCCTTTCCCCGGCTGAGCCATTTCACATGACTGAACCTCAACTCTTTAAACTGCACTTTATTCAGAAAGCCTGCAGTTTGATAAGACAGTGGGTTATGGCTCATCTCCAGGCAGCAGCTAATATCGACAGTCAGTGGAAACAGAGCAGTATTCTGACTTTAGAAAGAGCAGGAGCGGGAAGAAGAGAAGAAACAGCAACAACGTGTCTCTCAAAGACTAGCTGACCATCTGCCCAGAGGGGCAAGACGGAGCTTTGGAATGACTGACGTCAGCAGTTCTCTGGGCAGCGTGGGGTGTGGGAGGTGTAGGGGTGTGTGGTTTGCACGTGAACCTCACACTGCAGCAGCACTAGCAGGCTGGGCGGCAGCACTACCAGGCTGGGCATCAGCTCAGAACAAACAAGCCAATAGTAGCATTAGGATCCACCTGCGTTGAGCTATTGGCAATGTCCATGTGAAGATTCTTTTCTACAATGTGAAGTCCAATGTGCCCTTAACACACAATATAGAAGGTCTCTGGCATCTCTCACCTCCATCATATCCCACACGGTGAATGCGTGGAGATCTCTCTGAGACCCTTTTTAAAAGGGCAGGAATCTCATTCAAGGGAGAGTTCCATGCCCATGATCTAATTACCTAGTTGTTCTTTGATAACATTACCTGGGGAGCGCAACTGGAGTCCAGCATTCTCATTTTGTGGGAGCGTAAGCACCTGGGCGATGGCAGCTGGTACAGAGCCAGCGTGTCTCCTACAAAAGGAGAACAGTAGAGTACACAGACCCTCAGCTCACCCTAACCACATGCGTGTGAACGGCCTGGGCGAAGCAGGTCAAGCCCAGTCAGGCTGCTGCTGTTCTTAGTTCCGCCTTCCAACAGCCTTCAGGACCGCCACCCCCATTTTCCTGGGGCAGGGATACACATTTTCCCGAGGCATCAGTAACCACAGGATAGCCTCAGGCAGGTCCGCAATCTTTTCTGAGCCTCTGTTCGCTCCTTTATAGAAAGGGAATAGTCGTCAACACACGGGTTCTGCCCAGACTGTCAGAGATAACATATGTAAAGCCCTTGACATGTGTTCATTCACAGGAAGTCCAGCTGTCAGGCCTTCCTCTTGGGGGACTGTTGAAGGATTAAGACATTAATTTGTCTTACAGGCTTTGGCGTTTTAAGAGGGCAATGTATTTAACCCGGGTTCTGGACAGAACTTGGGTCATCAGGTTTGTGTGACAAGCACCCATCTGGGGAGCTATTTCACCAGCCACCGTGAGTTTATTTCATATTCACATAGGAGGGATGTGTGCTTAGGGTATACAATGGAAGAACCTGGAGTAGCCTTTAGAAACAGCTGTGTTAGTTGGGCCAGTGATCCTCCCAGAAGAGGGGGTGAGACTTCTGCTTCGGAAGACAGCTGGCTCCGGGAGTAGGGAGTGTCTGCTGAGGAAGATGGGCCTTACTATCATGAAAGGAGAAACATGGCGAGTTGTAGTAGAGACTGCAGAGGTGATGAGTTACAGGGAAGAGGCTGACCCGAAAGGAAATGGAACCCAGGAAACATCCCAGCCACAAAGCAGGTGCAGCAGTGCAGGGGTGCAGGGGGCACAGGGGTGCACAGGTTGAATGCCAACAACAGCGAAAGGAAATGGCTATCAAGCATGGGCCACTCATGCCTGAGGTCTCTTTGAGCAGTCTGGTGGGTGCTGGGACTTGAACTCAGGTCTGGAAGAGCACCATATGCTCTTCTTAATCACTGAGCCATCTCTCCAGCCTCTGGAATTTCCTCTATTCTCGTATTTGGAGTTAACTAGGCCTTCTTCCAGCCTCCAACAGCACCCGGGTGTGTGCCTGTCTCTTTTCATTGGTCTGAGCTCCTAGAGAAAGGAATCACAGCAGCCACCTCCAGAACCTGGCTGGCTGCTCCGGGCTTGTAGCCGACAGCATCAGTATGAAACGCCAGAGTGTGCTGTCAGTGAGTGCCACTGTGTGGACCTAGGAGGGCCTGCGCACTTGTGAGAGCTCCTTCAAGTTATGCTGCAATAACATCTAGTCTTTTGTTTTCTCCCCCTCCCTCCCACCCACCCTCCTCCTCCTCCTTCTCCTCCTTCTCCTCCTTCTCCTTCTTCTCCTCCTCCTCCCTCCCTCTTCTCCTCCTCCTCTCTCCCTCTCTTTGTAAGTTGGGACTGAAACTGGGGTTCCCCACATGCTAACCACATATTCTACTATAAAGTAATCTTCTCAGCCATCTTTTTTTTTTTAACAATCTAACACTCAAACTGTCAAGTTAAGACAACCAATAAGGAATGGTTATTACACTTTTGCCTTTCATTTTAACTAATTTTGTTAGCTGCAGATCATTTCATCATAAAAAAGAGGTCTCGTGAAGGAGCCTAAAGAATTCTTTGCCTTTGGATAACCCTTAATGATTTCCGTATTCATTTTGATATGGCAACTTCTCGACAGATAATAGAGGCTCTCGCAGATACTGTTTTTCAATTTCCGTGGTAACGAGGACCACGCACTACTCACAGTGCAGAGAGGCCATTGCCAAAGATGACTGTCTCGGGATGTCAGTTCCGTGCATAGGCTTTGAGTGGGGGGTTCAGGGCAAGAGGAGGTAATGGCAAGACTGGGAGACCCCTGGATGAAAGATACTTCAGTGGCCTAAATGGGGATGTTGTTTTGGTGACTTTTATCTAGGCATGAAGGGGAGGAAAGAGGTTAGGTAAGTTTAGGTCAAGCCCACCTGACCCAAAGGTTAATTCTGCAAAGGGGCAGACACAGTATAGAGGCAGAGATTCGGCCTTTTCCTTCTGTTCCCATCACACAGCAGGTGCTTTTACAGGCCCAATGGGGGGCTGGTGCTTTCTACAAAAACAGTCATGTCTCTGAAAAGTATCGTAGGTAATCATTACCATCCTAACCTCCAAGCTCACGGCCTTGTCAACAAACCTAGTGGGAAATAGACTGGCAACTGTGTAACCTCCAAAATCCGTGCTCTTCATTAGAAACACTACTAAAACCAAATAAATCTAGGGGACTGACTTTGGCTGTTCCTTGATTTGAATCCTGTGTGTAGGACCCTTCCCAGGCTTTATACAGTGAATCAAGATGAAGGTCCCCGCCTAGCAGGCAGATGAGAAAGCCGAGTCTCAGAGAAAGCTGTGTGCCCAAGGCCACACTAACCCAACAATGAAGACAAAACTGAGACCTAGAAAGTATAACAATCCTTGCCTTGTTTTAATTTTTGATATTGCATGATTTTTCAAAAGTCTGCTTCCCAGAATAAGGATGATTCCGTTTCTCCAACTACATCCTATAAACACTTGAGTACACATGCATTCACGTGCACGTGCGAATATGCAAAACCCTGCACCTTTCCCCAGAGGCTCCAGGATGTCTCCCACCTGTCCCTGGACCCAGATGATCACAACATGCGGCTCTTGGTGGGCGGGGCCAGGACACAGACATAACTAGTCAGCAGCTTGCAGGAGGTATGAAGGATACCTAAGGAGGTGAGAGGGGATGCGAGGCCAGAAGAGGACCTGAGGAAGAGGAAATGGCTCTCTACTCTCTCTGGAGTTTGGTAGATCACAGGATCCCAACAAGGGCATGGTAGCTTCTGTGAACTTGTCTTCCACGCTCTGATTTCTGTTATTTTTTTACCGCAATCTCGTCCTACTGAAGGAGTGGTTGAGGAGGACAGGAACGGCGTGTTCAGAGACTGCTTCCCTAGTCCACAATAGACCCAAGAATGACCTCACTCTTGCCCACCCATGAGAACACAGAGGCTGTAGTGTGCCCCTTCCTCCTTTTCCACTGCTTCAGAGGAACTGCGTGCTGTTGGCTTTATGCTGAATGTCCATCATTCTGTGGCCTATGTGTGGGAGTAGAGACTGGAGGAGGTCAAGTGTTTTCTTGAGCGCAGTTTGAGCGCAGTCAGTCGATGACCCAGTGGCCCTAACACTTCTTGTAGCTTTTACTCCTTCTCAGACACTGTGATGGCTGATCTTAGCTGTCGGCTTGACTACATCTTGACTCAGCTAATACCCAAGCAGCTGGGCACACTTGTGAGGGATTATTCTTCAATGGATCATTTGAGGTTTGGGAGACCCACCCTAAATTTGGGCCACACCTTATAGTGGCATCCACATAAAAGGACATTGAAGAAGGAAACTTCTGCTTCCTGCCTACTTTCTCTCACTCTTGCTGGCAAGTTCATCCATCCTACAACTGAGGTATGCCTTTGCTGGTATTAGAACTCACTTCTTCAGGATTCCAAAACAGACTGATGACGGGCCTAGACATCAAGCCTCATGGACAGAGCAGCTATCAGATTCTTGGCCTTTTCTTCAGGAGACAGCCCTTGTTGGACTAGCTGGACCACAACTTGTAAGACATTCTAAAAAAAAAAAAAAATCCCTCTTTAAATGTATATATTCACTCTATCAGTTCTGCTCCTCTAGAGAACCTGACTAATACAGATTGTGGTAACAGGAGTGGGGTATTGCTGTGACATTTCTGTCCATGATGTTTTTGTTGTGTTTTGTTTCATTTAGGAGGAAGACTTTGGGACTTTGGGCTAGGAGAGTGACTGAATGCTGTAAGCAGAGGCTAAGGGGCCATCTTAGCAGGAACTTGGAGTGTGGTTTGCTGAGGGCAATGTGGGCTCTGGACGCCCAGGTCAAGAAGCTTCAGAGGGGAACAATATTAACAACTGGGCTAGGAACCGTGCTTGTCTTTTGGCAAAGATTGTGGATGTTTTTTGTCTTTGTCCTAAAAGTTTGCCTGAAAATTGAAAAAATGTTGGATTAATTTCCCCGGCAGCCTAATCTGACTGCTCCGTGCAGGTATCCAAGAAGAACGGCCTGAGCGAGAAGAAAATCGAAGTGTACAGTTGGAGGAGAAAAAGAGCACCAGAAAATTTAATGTTGGAGCCAAAACTTGGGCTGAAAAAGCTAAGGAGAGGCCCCGTGGGAAATGGGATACAGGGAGTGGGGAGCAGGGCCCTCAGGACAAGACTCTAGTCAGATAATCCTGTAATTTGTGAAAGAAAAAAAAAAGGCTTGAGGAATATTTTGTTCCTTAGAAGCAATGGATCAAAGTTTATGCAAATGTAATTCAAAGAGGCGCCAGGTTCCAACTGAAACAGATAGCCAAACATGGCAACTTTAGCCACGTAGTTCTGGCTTTAGTTTCAGGAAGAATACATGAGTAAAGGGGTTGTGGAATCTTCCCCAGCGGTTAAGGATAGCTGCTGAGGCTAGGCATGTGGTGGGGAATCCTGCATGGAGGCCCCAAGATGCCACTGTGTGAGGATGTGAAGGTGAAATCTGGATTCTGTTAATGATCCTATGATGTTGGAGGTGCCAAAGCTGAGGGAAGTCTGCCAGGGAGTCAGGAAGTGGAAGCAGCCAAAGAGTGAGTGCTTCGCAGTCAGCGAAACGGGAAGAGCAAAGCCATCTAAGCCCTTGACATCAGATATGTGGTTACAAGATTTGAAGTGTGCTTTGCCAGGTTTTGGCCTTGCTTTGGCTCCTCCCCGTGCCCCATTCTTTCCTTTTGGAATGATAACGTATATTATGTGCAAAAGCGTGCTGGACGTATATGATTTGCTTTTTGATTATACAGGAGGTTCCAATTAAGAAACCGCCTCGGGTCTCAAAAAAGACTATGGATTTGTAAAGTCTGTTGAGACTGTGAAAGACTATGGGACTTTTGAAGTTGGACTAAATGCATTTTCCACTGTGCTATGACCAGGAGCCTATGAGGTCAGGGAATGAAGTGTGGTAGTTTCAATGAGAATGGTCCTCACAGGCTGATGTATTTGCATGCATGATCCTCAGTTGGTAAAACTGTTTAGAAAGGATTAGGACTCATGCCCTTCCTTGTTGAAGACGGTATGTCACTGGGGGTGAGCTTTGAGGTTTCAAACAGGCATGTCTTTCCCAGTGAGCGAGCTCTCTTGTCTTGTGTTTGGGGGTCAGGATATGAGCTCTCAGCTAAATGCCTCAGTGCCACGCCTGCCTGCATACCTGTTGCCTCGCTGCCTCCAGTGTTGGTCATGGACTTTAACCTTCTGCAAGTATTAGACCCAAATTAAACGTTCCTTTTATAAGTTGCCTTCATCGTGGTGTTTTATCACGGCAACAGAAAAAGTGACAAAGAGAGACTCTGACATGATTTGAAGCTGAGCTGTATATGAAGTTCTGTCCATTAAGGTGAAGTTCTAGCTATTGTCACCCCAAGGTGTGGTCTTTAGGAAGGTAGTATACAGCAGCTATATTAGTAGCTCCAGACTCCAGTCTCTTTTCTTGAGCCCCAAGAAATCATCTAAAGCACCACATTTACCCCTAGTTCCCTCCAGAACTGACTAATGCTCCCAGGAGAAGCAGAACCTAATATCAGACCCCCCTCCTTGCTGTGGAATATTATTTGAAGATGTGTTATGTTCGTTTACACTGTGGAATATTTGTTTAATGGTGCAAATATGTATTGCATTCTTTTATGTTTCATTTGTTTAACTCTGTGAAGCTGTGTTACTTTGCTGGCCTAAAACACCTGATTGGTCTAATAAAGAGCTGAATGGCCAATAGCAAGGCAGGAACAAGGCTAGGCAGGGCTGGCAGGCAGAGAGAATAGGCAGAAGAAATTGGTGAAGAAGAGATTGGGGAGCAAGAAAAGGAGAAGGAGGAGGACATCAGGGGTCAGCCACCCAGCCACTCAGCCAGCCATGAGTAAGAAGTAAACATTAGGGGCTAGCCACCTAGCTACACAGCAAGTCATGAGTAAAAACGAAAGAAAAGTATATAAAATAGAGAAAGATAAAGGCCAAGAGGCAAAAGATAGACAGGATAATTTAAGAAAAACTGGCTGGAGATAAGCCAAGCTAAGGCTGGGTATTCATAAGAAAGAATAAGCCTCTGTGTGGTTTATTTGGGAGTTGGATGGTGGGCCCTCCAAAGAAGAAAGAGCCAAAAGAGTCAGAGTAAAAAACCAACACAATGTTTCCCTCTAATCCCCATAATCCTGTGCAACTTTGTTAGCTGATGTCTTCACAAAGAAGAGGGCATACTGGGTTATAAGTCAGTGGTAGAGTTCTTGCCCACCATAGAGGAGGCTCTGGGTTTGTTCCCCAGCAACACTTAGCTTCCCACTGTTAACTCTAGAACCTCTGATTCTTCCCAATGATAGAGCGGGGTTTATAGCTCAGTGGTGGAGTCTTTGTCCAGCAGGTGTAAGAGCACAGGTTCAATTCTGAGTACCACACCTACCTACAAAGTCCTGACGTTAAAACAAATACTTAGTTCCTCAATAAACACGACTTAAAGATGACATACGGTCTTTTAAAACTTAGTGCCAGAGGCCTGGAGTGGAAACTCAGTGGCTAAGAATACTGCCTGGGAGCGGGAGGAGAGGAGGGAGGGAGAACTGGGATTGGTATGTAGAAAATAAATAAATAAGCTCTTATTTCCAAAAAGAATATTGGCTGCTCTTGAAGAGAACTGGGGTTCGTTCCCCATACCCACATGGAGACTTACAACCATCTGCAAATCCGGTCCCAGGCCATTTGACTCCCAGAAAACACACATGCACATAAAACCCAACTAAACCTTCAAGTTTAGTGCTGGATGCTGCTGTTGGTCTTGTTAGGAGCTTAGCTTCCACGTCCTAAGTGAGGCTGGCTCGTGATTTTGCCATTTTTGTCCTTGTTTTGACTTTATAAAATAAGTTGATGTTTTTGGATGTCTCTTTTGGTTTCTTAAACTTTCCTTCTAATCTTCCAGGAGAATGTATAGAAGGGTGCCAATTCCTCCTAAACCCTAAACCCTTTAGCTTTGCTGCTAAAGCCTGCTGAACCTGTTATTTTCTTTGTGGGAAATTTTTCATCACAGATTCAACCTCACCTGCCTCTTTAGAGCGGCTGTTTGGCTACGGGTATAAAGATGTTAACTATGATTGACAGATGCCAAGTTCGTATTTTTTCTCCATTTATTTTTTTAATATTAAAACATATTATAAAAATTTTTATTAAAAAAATTGAGACCTGGGCCAGCTAAGTTGCCAAGGCTGGCCTCAGAATGCGATCTTTCTGACTTAGTGTCCTGACTAGCTGGGATTATAGGCATGTACCCCTGTCTGACATCATTAATACCAAAATCATTTAAAAGATTTTTCTCTGCAGTCTACATTTATCAAAATGTGCACAAGCCACAGGCTCTGTTCACTAACTTCTCACTAAATACACTCACCAATGTAAACTCTCATCCAGCTCAAGAAAAAGACATGACGCCAAGATAAACAGTTTTAGAATTCTGGCCTTAGAGTCTTACCGGTGTTGTTTGGCACTGTGATCTAACTTGGTAGAGAACTCATCCCATACCAGACTGAAAGCTACCAGAGGGCCAAACTCCAGTTGTACGTTAGCTTCTCTGTAAGAAGATGATTCAACCTTGGGTCAGCAACCACGATCTCCACTCGGGCACTGGGGTCACGCTATGGCTTCCAGCTCCTCTGCAGATACAGCCTAGGATAGAGGCATAGTCCAGTTTGTAGCTTGCCCAGCAAGCGCGGAGAACATTCCCTTCAGCTTGGGAACAGTGTGGGCTGGCGACCGGGTCTCTGACCTCAGTGATAAAGCACAGGCACCTTATAGATCAGGGGTGAGCCGAAAGCACCCTACATAGAATTCCGAGTCCCGCCTCACCCCTGAGGCAACCCTCACTCCACAGGGAAGCTGCTGGGTTGTCCCTGCACCCTAGATGGAGAGGACTGTGCCTTACTCAGCTGTCTCTGCTCTCCCACAGGCCCGGCCATCCCTGTGGGTGTGGACGTGCAGGTGGAGAGTCTGGACAGCATCTCCGAGGTGGACATGGTAGGCACTGCCCCGGGCTGACCTCATTGATGAGGGATCACACTTCTGAGAAGCTAAGAGTATGGGGGCCTCTGGGGTGCAGGCTGTGACTGTGAAAGCAGGTGACCAGACTGGATCTTGGGGATAGCTGACCCAGGTACAGTAACATCTAGAGTAGGGTTATTGTTTCCACCGGTAAAATTAGTTGGGGCCTGAAGCCCGCATCTGCCTTTTGAAGGTCTGCTGCAGGGGCCCAGTGACTCACACTTGGAGGAGTGTTGGAGACGGCTTTCTGATGGAAATCCTTCAAGGCTCTGATTTTCCATTCTTGTGTGAGCACAGCTCCCAGCCTTCTGTGGCAGCCCCTCCCCCACCCTCAATGTTCATCCCGTCTTTTGACTCTCACATGGAGGTTCGCTCACCTTGAAGGGGAGCTTGCCTCTCCATGCCTTCAGTCCTCTTGTGTTCGCTCTTTTAGTTTGCAAACTTCCTCTGTCCTCCCAGGAGGTTTTCTTTTTGTCCTTTATGTCTCTGTGGAGATAAGCTCCTTCAGAGGCCTACCCAAGCTCCTGGTCTCGGGGCTCTGCTTTTCCTTCATAACTCACATAGTCGGTCTAGTTGTGCTATGGGTTTATTTTGGAGCTCCCTCCCTCCCTTCCTCTCTCCCTCCCTCCCTCCCTCTCTCCCTCCCTCCCTTCTCTCCCTCCCTCTCTCCTCTCTCTCCCTTCTCCCTCCTTCTTTCCTTCCTCCCATTCCTCCTCTTCTTCTGCCTTCTTCTTCTCCTTGTGTTTTTGTCAAGCAACCATGGTCTTGTCTGGAAGTAGATACTCTAGCACTGAAACCCCCCGCCCCCCATACCCTCTCTTACTTGATGCAGTCAGCACAGCTGAGAAAGTACAGGCTGTGTGCTCCTCAGAGCTCCGGCTCCTGGCAGCAGTAGATCTAGGAGAGGAAGGTGTAGATGTGAAGGTCTCCAAGATACTAGAGCACACCCTACTGCATTCTTTGGGTATTCAACAGCTGGGTTCACTGGGTCTGAGGTCAGTCCTTAGACTCCAGTCAGGCACTAAGTCTGACAGTCATCTGCCCTCCTCCAAGTGGGACTGCGGATTGATGTCCTAGGGAGAGGCGACTAGAGTAGAGTCTTAGTTAGGGTTGCTATTGCTGTGATAAGACACTATGGCCTAAAGCAACTTGAGGATGAGAAGGTTTAGTTTGCTTACACTTCCAGGTAATAGTCCATCACCGAGAAACTCAGGGCAGGAACCTGGAGGCAGAAACTGAAGCAGAAATAATGGAGGAACACTGCTGCTGGCTTGCTCAGCTTCTCTCTCTCTCTCTCTCTCTCTCTGCTTTTTGAGATAGGGCTTCTCTGTGTAGCTTTGGAGCCTGTCCTGTAACTCAAGACCAGGCTGTCCTTGAACTCACAGAGATCTGCTTACCTCTGCCTCCTAAATGCAGGGATTAAAGACGTGTGTTATCACTGCCCAAGACTCAGCCTGTTTTCTGTTTCCTTCCTTTCTTCTTCTGTTTTTTTTTCCTCACCCCCCCCCCCGCCCCGGGGACAGAGTCTCCTTGTGTGTTACTGGCTGATCTCACAGAGATCTGCCTGCCTCTGCTTCCTGATTACTGGAATTGAAGGCGTGTGCCACCACGCCCAGCTTCATCCGGCTTTCTTACACACAACAGGATCACTTGCCCAGGGTTGGCACCACCCACTGTGAGCCAGGCCCTCCCACATCAATCAATCACTAATCAAGAAAAAGCCCACAGACTTGCCAATAGACCATCTGATGGAGGCGTTTTCTCTGTTGAGGTTCATCTCCAAGATGATCATAGGATGTGTCAAGTTGATAGAAAACCAACCAGGACACATGGCTTGACCTGCCTAGAGAACCCATAGCCCGTGTGAAAATAGGATTCCAGCAAAAAGGTAATAGCAGGCAGAGACCGTCCAAGCTGGCCTCACACAGCTGGTATTTGAGAATCTGCAATGTGGCAGTCCTACCCCACTCTATGGTGTCCACCAGAGCGTGCTCTCCAGCTGTGTGACCGGAAGGGACATTTGGCTGCTCCCTTCCCATTCACATATTAGCTATTTTTTTTGTTTGTTTGTTTTTGGTACATCAAAGAGCTCATAGCAAGTGCTGATATACTGGTAACCAAATCAGTTAGGAATAGACTCGTGAAGGCCCAGTCTTTGATTGTCCCCGTCCATCCCTGCAATATCCGATTCACTCACTGCTCTCTTCTTGGTTGACTCCCGGAAGAAGGGCTTCTGGGCAGTTTCCTCTCCCCATGTAGCTTGTGTCTTAGCTCTGGCTTACGGTCTAAAGGCCTGAGTGCATCAGTTATGCAGGTCAGGAGACACATTTTAACAAGACAAGCCTCTAAGCTGAAACTGTAGTAAATGTGCAGCTGTCTCGGAATTTATTGCTCCGGTTTTCCAGTGAGAACATATTTTTAATGCTTCTGGTGACTGCACCTAGGAGCTTGCGTGAGTTAGAGAAGTGCTCTACACGGGACTATGTCCCCAGTCCGCAGCTAACAGGCATTTACTGAGCGCTTACCATGTGCCTTGCTAGACATTCAATTCAGTGGTGTGGTAATTCATTCTGTGAAGAACACAGTTCTGCCTTTGAGGATCTCACAGTCCAATGCTAGAAATCTTCACAAGAGGGACACCTGACTCCCGGTTTCTGTCACTGGCCACTCTGAAACCTGTTGAGCAGTGTTGGAATGCCTGAAGCCGGCTACATCCCCCCAGCTGCCTCTGGGAAGAGACTTCCGCAGTCTTTGCGGTGACTTGACAGCTCTCAGTTTATAACCCTTGACTCTTTCAGGCTCCTTGTCACGTACTCTGTGCTGGTCTAAATCATGTGATAGGGAACTTCCCACACCTTCAAGGGTTCCTAAAAGTCTAATCTTCCCTTTGTTCAGGGCATTGGTTTGAGACTTTGGAGGGAGGTTGCTGAGGAGGTGGCCTTGAAGGACTCTTCTGAAAAGGCTCCTCTGACCCATCCCTCTCACATCCTCTCCCTCCCTCTGGCTCCCTCCTCTTCTCCTTTTCCTTTCTCATTCTTACTCTTAATGAAGTTCCTGTCCAGGTTTCTAAGGGAAGTCTCCCCTTCCCTTTACGGTCTGTCACATTTAGATCTCCATTTATTATACTCTTCCTAATGCTCCTTCTCCAACCCTGAGTCTTAGTCATGGCCGTGAGGCCCTTTTCTTCCAAGAAAATTCACTGATGGGAATTGTGACACCTTTCTTTCCAAACTGACTGCTGGTACTCATCTTTTGCTCTAGTAAGAAGCCCTATGCATGGGGACCTCATGAAGAAGACCAGGGTTTCACTGCACCCTGCTGGGTTGTGGCACCATAGCTGTGTTTTCAGTTACAAAAATGAGTCACTCTCTTCTCGATTGCCACAGTGCCATCGTGTTGACCATCATATTGGCTATTGTGCTCAGGGCTACAAAGCCATCACTCTGAATCTGGAAGCAGAACCTGGGGTATTCTGCAGTAGAGGATGATGGGTATTCTGCATTAGAGGATGTTGGATATTCTGCAATAGAGGATGATGGGTGTTCTACAGTAGAGGATGATGGGTATTCTATAGTAGAGGATGATGGGTGTTCTGCAGTAGAGGATGATGAGTATTCTGCATTAGAGGATGATGGGTATTCTGCATTAGAGGATGTTGGGTATTCTATAGTAGAGGATAATGGGTATTCTGCATTAGAGGATGTTGGGTATTCTGCATTAGAGGATGATGGGTATTCTATAGTAGAGGATGATGGGTATTCTGCAGTAGAGGATGTTGGGTATTCTGCAGTAGAGGATGATGGGTATTCTATAGTGGAGGATAATGGGTCAGTTGCAGGGAGGGATGCTCTCTAAGCCTTTCTATCTAAAGAGTTTCTGGCTTCTTCCCTGGCTCCCAGGACTTCACAATGACGCTGTACCTGAGGCATTACTGGAAGGACGAGAGGCTGGCCTTCTCCAGCACCAGCAACAAGAGCATGACCTTTGACGGCAGGCTTGTGAAGAAGATCTGGGTTCCCGATGTCTTCTTCGTTCACTCCAAAAGGTCCTTTATTCACGACACCACCACTGACAACATCATGCTGAGAGTGTTTCCGGATGGCCATGTGCTCTACAGCATGAGGTAACCGTCCTGGGGCCATTATTCCTGTCCAGTCCAGGGTGTCTCGTCAGCTCCTTTAGCCCTGGTGAGTTTGTCTCTGTAGGAGGGCCTGTGGGCTGGCACAAGCCTTTTGATGTCTCTCAGTCTGATTCACTCCTGCAGATGGCAACTTCCTCTTTGCTGGGGTCTTACACTTGAGCTAAAAGACTAGTTTGGCCAGACTTGATGGGAACAATGACCTTTTATCCCTTAGACTCTAGCTGATTGTCAATACGGATTTAAAAATAAACAACGGTAGCTACTGTCTATTAAGTGCTATTGCAGACTGGCTTTGGTGCGAGCTTGGTGGTTCAAGGGTCCTTATTCCTGGCCTGCGCATATGAGTCTCCAGAATGAGTATCAGATAGGCTCTTATCTTGGGTAGACGATAGAGCCAGCCTCACTTTCCAGGCATCTCTGAGGGAGGCTGCCCTGCTGGTTGAGGTGGTGTAAGAGAAGGGTGCAAGCGTGGCCAGTTAGCAGCCAGCAGCCCCACTCCAGCAGCTGGGGGACAGCAAGCCCAGTAAAGGACCCCCACCAGGATCCCAGAAGACAAAGTTCTAGTTACGTTTCCATGGCTTAGATGCCTGACGCCTGGCGGTGATCCAGCAAGGGCATTGTACCGGGTCTTCCTCAGCGTGGGAAGAAGCCTGGGCTCATGGTCCACCTTCCAGCCAGCTCCTGTCTTTATGTCGTGCAGAATTACGGTCACCGCCATGTGCAACATGGACTTCAGTCACTTCCCCCTGGACTCCCAGACCTGCTCTTTGGAGCTGGAGAGCTGTAAGTGTCCACTGCGTCCTCGCCTTTGCCTTGTCCCCTCTCCCGTCTTGTGCCCCTGGAGGGCTGTGTACTGGAGAACTGCCCCCTGCCATAGCAGTTGTTCACCCTGGCACAGAGCATCCTTGTTGCTTCCCGCAAGAGGGTAAAGCTGTCGACTTCACTTGTTTTCCTCTCCCCAAGATGCGTACACAGACGAAGATCTGATGCTCTACTGGAAGAATGGGGACGAGTCCCTGAAAACGGATGACAAGATCTCCTTGTCCCAGTTTCTGATTCAGAAATTTCACACAACTTCCAGACTGGCCTTCTACAGCAGCACCGGTAGCTAATTTCCATCACAGTGAGACTCAAATGTGGAAGAAACACATTTGAACCCTCCAGCCTTAACCCTTCCCACGTCCAGCAAATAGAATTTGGATTGGACCATTCAAATAAAGCATAGTCCCAAATAGCACTTATTTTTATATTATTATTATTATTATTTTGGTTTTTTAAGACAGAGTTTCATGGTGTAGCCCTGCCTGTCCCGGAGCTCACTCTGTAGACCAGGCTGGCCTGGAACTCACAGAGCTCCGCCTGCCTCTACCTCCTGAGAGCAGGGATTAAAGGCACCATTGCCTGACCTTCAAATATCACTTTTTAAAAGCAGGAAAGGGTCAAACCCCTGCTATCTTCTGAGGTCCCACCCCAGAGGTGACGCGAGCTAGTAAATAGTCTCAAGGCGTCTTACTGTAGCTGTGACTGCGTAAGAGTGGGCTGTGTTTGGCAGGCTCTTCTGTGGCCTTATTTGCTCTATGTCACAGCTGTTCAGGGAAAAACTTTTCTTATCGTATCTTAACTACACTTTGATTTTTTTTCCTGCTAGCGGCTGAACCCAGGGCCTAGCACATGCTCAGTCCATATGCTACCCGTGACTCACACCACCGGCCCCAGGAGGGTCATTTTTCAGCACTTAGTTTAACCTCCTGGATCCCGGGCCATGTTTGAGGGTTTGAAGGGATCCCTTGTCAGCCTTTGTCTGGCTCACCTCAAACTCCGTGGTTAGATTTTTAGGACTGCCATAATGAAATTCTACAGACTGGGTGTTTGAGACCACAGAGGTTTATTCTGTCACAGTTTGTGAGGTCGGAGGTCTGAGGACCATGGTCCCTCGGCAGGCTGGAGCGAAGATTCCAGCCTCTGCCGCCCTTAACCTGCAGCTGTGCCGCTCCACCCTGCTTCCCCGTCATGTGATGTCTCCTTTACTCTACTTCACGCCTTTCCAATGTGTCCATGCCCAACTTTTCCTCTTCTGTAGGGTCACAGGCCACTGGGTCAGGGTCTATTATAATTCAGTATGACCTTATTTTGCCTTGATTAGATCTGCAAGACCTTGTCTCTTAGTAAGACCCCATTAAAGAGGTGGAAGTTAAGACTTCCGTTTATCGTTACATACGATTCAACGGCACTTCTGCGGGCGCAGGCTCCCAGTGGGACCCCTACTTCCTCATCACTGTCTCAGAGCCCAGATGCCCAAGCCCCTCTATGGAAAGCTTTGTGTGCCTTCCTGATCTTGCGTGCTATCCTAGCCGGTCGCCTGCCCTGACTCTGACGCTTGCCATAGAGCCAAACACTGGAAGAACACGAGCCCACCGAGCGCTGTGCTGGTGTCAGGACAGTGACAGGCCTCTTGCAGAGCGTGCCCAAGGGGCTCACCCTCATCTCTTCCCTTTCGTGCTGATGGACACACAACCTCTGTCTATTCATTGTAGCTGTTGTTTTGTTTAATTTTAAAAATATTTATTTTGTTTTATGTCGATGAGTGTTTTGCCTTCATATATGTATGTATGTGTACCACATGTGTGCCTGGTGCCATGAGTTGTCAGAAGAAGGCATCAGGTTCCCCCAAAACTGGAGCTGTGGATGGTTGTAAGTCACCATATGGGTGCTGGCAACCAAACCCAGGTACTCTGGACAAGGAGTCAGTGATCTTAACTACCGAGTCATCTCTCCAACTCTCTTATCTATTCTTACCAAATTCAAATCATTGAACCCACTGCTAAGAATTTCATACATACTATTTATTTTGCGCCACTCTGTATAAATTTATTTCTGCCCTACAAACTAAGACTTAGATATTATTATTCCTTGGTTTCTGGTCAGGAAACTGAGACTTAAAGATTAAGCTATTGGTCCAAGTTTCGGAGCCGTGAGAGGCCGTGTTTGCTCCTGTTAGTGGCTCTGTGCTGTAACAGTACATGTCTATTTTCTTTCCCATCCAAGCCTTTCTAGAGTTCAGATTCAAAAGCATCTTCCATGTCCATCCTTCACTACATACTGTCCACATGCCACAGAGTGGCGGTCTCACGCAGGAGCTACACACAGTGCACATGTTCACACGCCACAGGAGTGGTGAGCTCACACAGGAGTTATGCACAGTGCACAGCTCTTTTCTCAGTCCCAGTGTTCCCATCACAACTTCTTTGCTTTTCATGAGTAGAAACAAGAATGATGGAATACCTCACTAGAACAGAGGCGGCTGTCAGGAAGAGTCTGTGCAAACCCAGTGAGCAGCGTGGTTTCCTTCATGGATGCCATCTGGAGCGGGGTGAGGTGGGGAGTGGTGAGCCAATGTGTTCTTTCCGCTCCTGAAGATCATTTTTTGTTTGTCTGTCCCGCTAAAAGCACCAGCCCATTGAGACAGCCCAGAAGGCCATCGAGTATGCAGGGGTCAAATCTGTCTGAACTTCACTCCCTGTTGCTCCGGACCTGGCCTACCCTCCCCTCCCCCAGCCTGCTCTGTAGTTACCTCCGGCTCTAGCCAGTCTGTCTGCTCCCCAGTGTTTTGGGGGAGTCTGAGGGAGGCAGCCTGAAGCCCATCTGACCTATGCTGCTGAAGTCAGGTGCTCACAAGCAGAGTCCCTGGGACAAGCCTACAGAGTCAGGGCGGGGTGGGAGTCAGCAACTAAGCATCTCACGGACCTTCTTGTGTAGATCAGAACTCAAAGGTTGCTGCTTCTGGCCAATGTACTTCTCAGGTTGAATTCAGGTGCTCTGGGGAGCCAACAGCTGTGTTTAACCAGTCCTCCGTGGGTATCCCCCTTTTTTGTGTGTGGGAGAGTGTCCCTCATCAATTCCTAAAGATCCCCTCGGGCCTACTGTTGGAATACCAGCTCAATTAAAGAGTCACTGGACATGTGAAGGCCTGGCCTCAGATAGAGGCCCTAAGTAACCCAAGTCCGCCTAGATCAGTTCTTAGAACAGCCTCTGAGTTGCAGTTCCCAGTGTTCCAAGTAGTATCATTCTGGTTTCCCCAACCACAGCTCCTTGAAGGACACCCTAGCCATCTTTGCCTTACCTAATACGCCACCTAGCAGTCAGCAACACAACGGCTCTCTTGAAGTCAATTGACCTTTTGTCATTTATTTGGCAAAGGAACTGTGCCTACCTGTAACGGATGAACAGTTGGGTGGGGTCATTTGCCACGAACAGAAGATAAATTTAATGAAGATAGATATATTTTATATAAATATGTTAATATGTTTATACTATATACATTTATAAATATATCAATATATATTAAATATACAATATATTTATATATTACATTTTATAGAAGATAAATTTAAGTAATGAACACATGGGAGGAAGAAAGAACCCTGCTTCCATACCCGCCACCCCACTCAAAGCATCTCCTACTGCCATCTCTTGACAGGGCTGAGCTGAGATGCAGCGGCTGCGGACGAACATACAGCTTTAGGTCAGGCTCACTGCCCTTGGCACCTTTGCGGGTCACAGTGGTTGTAGGGCACAGAGACCCTCACACTTTCAAACTCTTATACAGCTACTGATCGGGATTCTCGGAGTGCACAGTGAGTTAGTACTATAGCATCAGGTTTCCCCAGGAGGAGGATGGAGTGTCGGAAGTAGAAGCGATGCCAGACTTCCGAGTTTTGTGAACAGCCTACTTCTGTACTGGTGTGATTGAGGGAGTGCCAGCCAGGACCAAAGTGAGAGCCCGGCCCTTCTGGATCCCGGCCCAGCAACACTGGCCTCAGAAGATAGAACCACTCTACTTCTTAAACTCTGGGGCAGGAGACACAGCCGTAGTTTGCAAGTAATAAATAAACTATGAAGTAAATCTGTGCTTCCTTCTACCCTTTCCCCAAATTGCTGTGGAAAGTTAGGACAGACTCCGCAGGAGAATGAGTAGATATTGACAAGGTGGTCATTGCAGAGAGGGCTGGCATGTTAAGAGGGAAGGCATTGGATCACGCCTACGGAACTTCCTTTCTGTGGTTGGTGAGCAGTGCCGGGGAAGAAGGGCTCCGGGGATGTTCTGGCTGGGAGCTCACTCCTTCTTCCTGTGTCCCCCAGGCTGGTATAACCGACTCTATATCAACTTCACTTTGCACCGCCACATCTTCTTCTTCCTGCTCCAAACCTATTTCCCCGCCACCCTTATGGTCATGCTGTCCTGGGTGTCCTTCTGGATCGACCACAGAGCTGTGCCTGCCAGAGTCTCACTGGGTAAAAGTATTTGATAAGGCGTGGGAGGATGCTTTTGGTCTTTCTTTCAGCTGATCGCTAGGTAGTGGAGAATTAAACTCCTGGGCTGGGCATGGTGGCTCAATCACCTAATCCCAGCACCCAGGCTGGAGCTGGAAGACTAAGTTTGAAGCCAACATGGGCTACTTAGTAAAGTAATAGAATTCTTAGTTCATGGGCTCGGGAGTTGAAGGGGAACTTTCCTGCCTTTTGCCTCCTCTGTCCACACTGTGAACACCTGGGGAACTACCATTGCACCCCTCAGTCTGCATCAATTCAAAGGTGGAGCCAGTCTGGAATCCCAACCTTTCCACGCCAGTATGGGAATGAGGTACTAAAACGTCAATGAACGATTCGGCAAATGCCAACAATTATTTTGTAAACCCTAGCGTCTTGCTGGCTCGGACAATCCAAGACTGGAAACAGGAGGAACCTGGGGTGAAGGCTGTGTTCCTTCAGAGCTGGAGTTCTGGCTTCTGCCAGACCCTGAATTCCAGAGGGAAAATTTACAATCCAGCCTTGCAATTTGGATAAAATCAGGGTGAACCCTGACAAATGGGAGAACTTATCAGGCAAACCACAGCGGAGAAGAACGGGGCAGAACTTAGACAAGGGGAACTAACTAACTGTGCTTGTCCCTTCGAGGTGTCCTTGAGTCAGTTTTGAATTCCACACCACAAGTGGTCAGTCATGAGGCATGACCTTGTCAGACACGTCACAGAAACCCAGATTCCCCAGGTGACTGCAAACAGGCAGCTACTTCTTGAGATCTGGAAGGGGTGAGTCAGGGAAGGCCTGATTGTTTAGAAAGCAAAGCCTCACGCCTCTACTGGGTGGAAATATGTCCAGGAAACTTCTCACCTGATTTAAGAGACAGAGGATGTGAAATTGTGTCTGTGGGGTGTGAGACCGGCTCTGGGGTGGGCCAGCAACTTAACTAAGACGGTTTTACAGGCATCATGACGGTGCTGACCATGTCCACCATCATCACGGGCGTGAATGCCTCCATGCCCCGAGTGTCCTACATCCGGGCGGTGGACATCTACCTCTGGGTCAGCTTCGTGTTCGTGTTCCTCTCAGTGCTGGAGTACGCGGCTGTCAATTACCTGACCACAGTGCAGGAGCAGAAGGAACGGAAGTTTCGAGAGAAGGTGAGGACACTTCACTCCTTTTCTCTTGTAAGCTGGGCTAGTGTTTGGATGAGAATTAGTTCCCTGGTTGGGTGGGGACAGTTAGGAGGGACCAATGCCTGTGGAAAGAAGGACATTAATGCCAAAGTGTGAACGGTTCTCTTCTTGCCCTGTTGGGACGGAAATTGTGGGTGGGCAAGAAGCTCTTTAAGTGTGGTCTGTGGTACCGTTTGCATTCCTCGGCATTGACAGCAAGTGTCAGCAGCAAGCATGCAGGAGCCGCAGCAGGCACCGCCATCGAGTGCTCCAACCCTAAGATCTGAAACTGTTTCTTTTTCATGCAGTATAGCTTGATCATGGATTCCCCTTCCCCATTTCTTCCCAACCACTCCCCCACCTCTCAGCCAACTCAGCTTTATATCCCCCCCGATTCTCTTTCTTTTTTAAAAAAACAAAGCCAATCAGTGGTGGCACACACCTTTAATTCCAGCACTTGGGAGGCAAAAGCAGGGAGATCTCTGAGTTCAAGGTCTATAATCTAAGTTCCAGGACTGCCAGAGCTACCCATAGAAACCCTGTCTAAAACAAACAATAAAAACCTGTTCAAAAAAATAAGAAACACCCTCTCAAACCCCCCACAAAATCTGACACCATAATATACAAACAAAATACCAATAAGACAAAAGAAAAAAATATCCAAACAGCAAAATGAAACAAGCAGTCTACAAAAATACAACTGAGTGCATTTATGTTGCTGCTGGTCCTAAGTGGCTACTAGATTTGCTGAGACTCCGATGGTGGAAACTAGTTTTTCCTTGCCAGTGGATATCAATTACAGATAGCTTCTTGGTTAGGGGTGGGAGCCCCTGTCCACTTCCCCCCTTCAGTGCGGGGGGCCCCAGTCTGGCTTGAACTTTGCGCAAGCCTTGTGCATTTTGTCACAGTCTCTGTGACTTCCTTTTCTTTCTGGAAGACACTGGTTCCTTAGAGTCCCCCATCGCCTGTGGTTTTCACAATCTGTTGTCCTCTCTTCCACATAGATTCCTGAGTCCTAGGGAAAGTCTGATGGAGGCATCCCATTTAGGACTAAGTGTTCCAAATTCTCTCACTCTGTACATTGTCCTGTTGTGGGTCTCTGTGGTAATTACCATCTACTGTGAGAAGAAGGTTCTCTGATGATGGCTGAGTGAGGCACTGATCTGTGGATACAGAAGAATGCCCTTAGGAGTCATTTTATTGCTATGTTCTTTAGCAGAATAATAGTATTTGGTTTTTACCTAGGTCCGTGGCCTATCGAGTTTCAGGTTCTTGGTCACTTTATCAATATGGGCATGGAGTGGGCCTTAAATCCATGCAGTCAGAATGTCGGTGGGTACTTCTGTAACTATTGTACCACTATAGCACCAGTATATCTTGCAGACAGGTCTCTCTTGTAGGTCACAGGGTTTATGGCTGGGTTGAAGACTATCTTTCTCCTCTGGTAGCATGTGCAATACCTTCTAGTACTGTGAAGTCTAGTCAGTAGGGGTGCAACTTCTAGTTAGGCATCATCAAAACTCTTCCATGTTCAATGAGATATGTAAGTGTTGTCTTCAGCATAGGGTCTTACCTTCCGGTTGTGGAGAGTAACCAATAGCCTGTGATGTTTGGGGTTTCCAGGAGGCTCTTTGGCCAATGAGCCAATGACCCAACAATATGCAACCCATTCCTGCTAATGTTTTTTTTTTAATTTTTGTGCCATAAGATGTCTAGTTGGAGCACTGTCTCCCTCATTATTTGGTGTCTTCACGTATATTTCTTTTATATGTGTATTATTTTAGGAAACTTCTACAGTAGTAGTTCCCATATGATTTTCAAATGATAATTAGTGTTAGTTGTCCCTTCCTACACTCCTTCCTTTTCTCCTTTTTCCTATCAGACTTCCTTTTTAATCCTATTCCAATTTCCTCTTTGTCTCTCCATAAAATCGTGTTCTACTTCCCCTTCCTTGGGAGTCCCTCTCCTCCCCACTAGTCCCTTACCAAGTCCCTCACCTCTATGGTTTCCAGATTGTGGCATGTATATTGAAGGCTTTAAAGCTAACATGCACATATAATAGAAAACACACAATATTTGTCTTTTGGGGTACCTTACTCAGGATGAATTATTTTTTTTTAACTCCATCCATTTCCTTACAAATTCTGTAACTTCATTTTTCTTAACAGCTGAATAATAGTCCATTGTGAAATGTATTGTGAAATGTACCACGACTTTCTTTATCTGTTTATCAGCTGAACATCAGACTATTTCCAGTTTCTGGCTGTTATGAATAGGGCAGCAATGAGTGTGGATGATCAAGTGTCTCTGTAGTAGGATGTAGAGTTTTTGGGTATATGTCCAAGAGTGGTGTGGCTGGATATTGACACGGATATATTCTCCACTTCCTGATGACCCAGCACACGGACTTCCGTAGTGGCTGTATAGGCTCACACTCCCACCAGCAGTAGGTAACCTCTTCACCGTTCCTCACATCCTCGCCAGCGTGGATTGCCATTTTATTTGTTTGGTTATTTATTTCCTTTTTATTTTTTATATGTTAGTGTTTTGCCTGAACGTATGTCTGTGTAAGGGTGTTGGATCCCCTGCAACTGGAAGCACAGACATCTGTTAGTTGCCATATAGGTGCTGGACATCAAACCCGGGTCCTCCTGGAGAGCAGCCAGGGTTCTCAGCCACTGAGCCATCCCACGGGCTCCTGCCATTTGTTTAACTGATTGTAGCCAATCTGATTGAGGCAAGGTGAAATCTCAAAGTACTTTTAATTTGCATTTCTCTGAAGACTAAGGATATTGAACATTTCTTTAAGTGTTTCTCAGCCATCTCTGTTTTACTTTTTGAGAACTTTCTGCTTAGTTCTGTGTCTCACTTTTTAAATTGGGTTATTTGTTTTCTTGATGTTCAGGGCTTTTTAGTTCTTTTCAAATATGTTTTAGATATTAATCTTTTATCAGATATATAATTGATAAAGATCATTTCCCAATCTGTAGCCTGATAGTTTTTCCAAATGACGGCATCCTTTGCCATACAGAAGTTTTTCAGTTTCCCGAAGTCCTATTTATTAATTGTTGTTCCGAGTGCCTGTGCCATTGGTGCCCTGTTCAGAAAGTCCTTTCCCGGGCCAGTGAGTTCAGGTCTGTTCCCCATTTTTCATCAGATTTAGAGTTTCAGGTCTTATATTGAGATCCAACTGGACTTGACAGGTATGGATCTATTTGCATTCCTCTACATGTGTCCATGCTGTTGGACCAGCTCCATTTCTGCTGAAGCTACTGTCTTTTCTCCAGGGTGTACTTTTGACTTCTTTATTAAACATTAGGTATCCACAAGTATATGAATACGTGTGTGTGTGTGTGTGTGTGTGTGTGTGTGTGTGTGTAACTATAGCCCTATGGTGATGAACTCTGGGATGGTGGTACCACCAGCAGTTCTTTAATTATTCAGGATTGTTTTAGCTGTCATGTTTTGTTAGTCATTTGTTTCCGTACGAAGCTGAAAATTGTTTTTTTCGATACCTTTGAAGAACCATGTTGGAATTTTGATGGGGTTTGTGTGGCATCTGTAGATCTGTAGATTGCTTTTTGTAGAATGGCCATTTTCACTATATGGATTCTACCAATCCATGAGCACGGGAGAACCTTTCACATCCTGGTGTCTTCTTCAATATCTTGCAGCTTTTATTATACAAGTCTTTCACTTGCTTGATTAATGTTATCTCAGATTATCTATCTATCTATCTATCTATCTATCTATCTATCTATCATCTATCTACTTATCTATCTACCTATCATTTATCTATCAACTATCTATCTATCTATCTATCTATCTATCTATCTATCTATCTATCTATCT